CTGCCTTTCTTTTTCCTTGCCCTTGAAGTCACTTGAGTGTAAACAAGTAAAACTAAGACAAGGGGGTAACAAAACCAGGATGAGGAATGGAGAGAGGAAAGGAAAGCGTCCCACAGTACTGGTCTGGAGACTAGCATCCTCACAGCTCCAGCGGGCTGGTTCCCCAGAGCTCTGAGCCTAGAGCTGCTGCAGAAATAAAGACCCATTGAGAAGTCTGGCTCCAAATTAGCATTTGAATTCCCTTGTAGTCTGTTGTCAGATGGGCAGGAGGTGGGTGCTAGTCTCGGTCTCTCAGTACTGATACACAAAGGTGGCTTTAAAAGGTCCTTATTTTTCTGAGGGAGAGAAATGCATTGCTCAAACTATGGACACTTTGTGTTTTCCTTTTTTTTTTTTTTCCTCTTTTCCCTCTCCCTTTCTCCTCTGTTTCACCCCCTTTCCTGGATCAGGCCTAGCTGTAGATAGACACGTCTGGGTATTGTTAGCCCAGTCTGACCTACTTCTTTCCCTCCCCTTGGCCCCGTGTTATGGATGCTGGTGCTATGGAAACCTGGGTGACATGCCAGTGCCACAAAGCCAGGGACACCAGCTGCACCCTCCTCTCCCAGCCCCAAGGCCCTTCCCCTCCCAAACACACCCCCAAAGAAAGTTAGCAGTGCTGCTCCCTGGGGAAATTCAAGGGTGCGCTCCTTCCGTCCCACCAAGCCGTGCTCCAGAGGGACTGAGTTGCTTTTGCGTGGGTTCAGGAGAAGGGTGCATTTTTTCCCTGGTCCCAGGGCACAGCATTTCGGTGCTGGCGGCCATGCGTAAACCCGCTGGTGTCTGCGCACCAGGCCTGTCTGTGCCTGTATCCTCCAGGGGCCGTCACATGATGGGTAGGAAAGTACACGTGGACACCCTTGAAGTTTTCAAGATAAAAATAAGCTACAAACTTCTGCAACGTGGTGCAAAAGCCTTACAGGAACCTGGCTGGGTTCCTACGAACACGGAAGTGGGAACACATGCGCGCTGGCTATCCCTGCAGCGGATGGCAGTTGCTTTGTCAGGGGGACAGAGCTGTCCGCTTCCATCGTCACTCGTTTGCTGGCGTGGGAACAAGCCCCACCGGGGGAGAGAGGCTTGTTTACAAGTTCAGCCTGTGTGTTTCTTGACATGAAAAAAAGCGCTCACTGGTTCTGCAGGTTTCTTTTGCTCTCTGCTGGCCTCCCTGGCTGCTTCGCCCGCGAGGCTGTGGCTGTATCGGAGTGGATTTGCTTCCAAGTATCTCACGCCAAACCTTGTCCTCCCCGTTGCTGACGCTGAACCGGCAGCCGTAAGGGGAGGGAGCAGGAAGGACCCCGGGAATCGGCAAAGCACTTGCAGGGGGCTCTTATATCTGTTGTAAGCCGCCTCCAGGAGATTTCCGCGAGGCTCCAGGACTCCCCCACCCCAATAACCTTAAGACCAGGGCCTGGCCCAGCACGGCCAAAACTGGAGGCGGGAGGGTTTCTGCATGCGTGCCGCCACGGCCGTGGCTCTGCGTGCAGGCAGCCTGCGTGACCGCTGCCCTGGGCACCTCCTGGGGTGCGGTGACCGAC